GGCTTGGAGACGTGACTGATGAACAAAGAAAATGTTATTTTAGAGCCAGGAATGTCTACATTGTTCATTCTGGACCCCATTTTGAAATTGGCATATTTTTTAATTTGCGTGAAACTTTCCAAATTGCCAATTTCTTACCACTTTATTGGGTAGTTGAAATTGGCAAATTGACAGTTTCTTGTACTCAATCGATAGAACAAATTGAGTTCTACAGAAATAGCTATGAGTTTGTTCGACTGGAACAATGGAATTAGCCAAAAATAGGGCTCAAAGTGGGCGAAATCGCCAATTCATAAATATCACTGAGGTGGCTAACTTCGTGAGAGCATAATTCCCTAAGTTTTCCATCAAATTTTGTACTTTTGGTGTCATTACCATCAGGAAAATATTCTCTATCATTTCATAAGAAATTTTTTTTTTTCAAATATTTTGCAACACCAGGAGACACCTCAGGATTTGGGGTTGTGACAGTCAAAGGGTTAAGTTAGCAATAGTACTAGGCATTAAAAACAATAAAAAGTAATATACACACACAGTACAATCATTACTTACCTTAAAATATTTGTAGTCTTAATATACGGTGAGAGGTGAGTAGTATTTATTTGTAGTTAGCTAGGTGTGGGAGGTATGATAGCTAACCTGGCCTGGCCTGGCCAGGCCAGGCCAGGTTAGCGGGGGAGTTGATCCCCCGGAATAACCTCCAGGTAACCAGGTAACTAAATTCTTAGCTATTTCACTAGTATTACTTCTATTCTATCGATTGAGCACAAGAAATTGCCAAGTCAACTGTTTCAACTACAAAATAAAGTGATCGGAAATTGGTAATTTGGCCAATTTAATGCAGAGTTCAAAATATTCTAATTTCAAAATAGGGTCCAGAATAAATAATGCAGACATTCCTGGAACTAAACTAACATTTCCTCTGTTCATTAGTTACATTTTCAGACTTTACAAATGAATTCCATTTTGATTTTTTATTCACATAATGAATTTTTATTCAAACCAAAAAATAGAAGATTTACTGTTAGGCAATATTGTAATAATTGTATAAATAATATCACCACATTTGTGAATGTATATTAGGCACACCAGCTGATGTGTATTAGACGTGTGGGATCATTTGTTTACTCTTGAACATCGGCAAAAATTTAACATTTCTACTATTTTGAGCTCAGTTTCAACCCACTTCCATTACTAAAACCAATCAAAATCATCTCTATTTCTGTAATATATCTTCCATTCAATCAAATGAGACCAAGAAATCGCAAATACAACATACGAAAAAACACTGCAAAGTCGCTGTTTTAATCGAAAATTACGGTCTCAGTTTTTTCTCTCTCATTATGCATCGTGCTCTGTAGGATTTGTTTTATGTGATGCACACATACCACATAGATGTATTCTCTCATATCTAGGCCCAAATTTACCGCTCACAGCTTATCAGAGTGAGCTGAGCTAATGGCATAGATCTACGGTTTGGACCCTCAACGTATAGCCGTAGATCTACATCAAGGACCCTCGAAGGGTTAACTGAAATGCTATTAATCCATTCCAGCCTCCTAAAAAAAACACCCAAATTTTTTGTTATGGGTTTTTAAATAAGAAAAATGTATTTATAAATAAGAAATATTGAATATTACACCCAGCACCTTCACTACTCCACCCACCACCATCTCTACTCCACCCACCATTATCACTACTCCATCCACCACCCTCACTACTCCACCCACCACCATCACTACTCCACCCACCACCCTCACTACTCCACCCACCACCATCATTACTCCACCACCACCTTCACTACTCCACCCACCACCTTCACTACTCCACCCACCACCATCACTACTCACCCACCACCAGCACTACTCAACCCACCACCATCTCAACTACACCCACCACCCTCACTACTCCACCCACCACCATAACTACTCCACCCACCACCATCACTATCTCCACCCACCACTCTTGCTACTCACCCACCACCCTCACTACTCCACCCACCACCCTCACTACTCCACCCACCATTATCACTACTCCATCCACCACCATCACTACTCCATCCACCACCCTCAATACTCTACCCACCACCCTCACTACTCCACCCACCACCATCACTACTCCACCCACCTCCATGACTACTCCACCCACCACCATCACTACTCCACCCACCACTGTCAGTATTCCACCCACCTTAATGTTTCTGGAAAAACTCTGAGTGTTGAAATGGGGGTTACCTCTTCCCGGGATTTATACGAGAATCAAACAAGGGTCGAGGTGCCTCACTACAATCTGGGATTAGTGTGGGAGCATTATCCTTCCAGTTATGTCTTGAAAGAGCATGTGGGATGGGACAAAGTACCTGACATTCCTCTGGGTACAGAATTGGATTTGACTTCAAATACGCCACCAACTAGTAACAGGGTACCAGAAGCTCACTCATAACTCGGATTCTGACTTGCAACTCAAAGCAAAAAATTGACTGAGCAACGACTCGTAACTCAGAAAACTCGTAAGTTAGGGTACTCGCAAGTCAAGGTACCACTGTACAACGCCACAAGTTCAGCTCACTCAGATAAGCTGTGAGCGGTAAATTTGGGCCTAGATATGAGAGAATGGGTCTATGCAGTAAGTGTGCACCATATAAAAAAAAAATTCTGCAGTAAGCAATGCATAATGGAAAAAACTGCGACCATGTTTTGGGCTTAAAACAGCGACTTTGCGGTGTATTTTCGTATCGTTTTCATGGTTGTATTCTAGGTTTCTTAGTCTCATATGACAGAATGGAAGATATATTACAGAAATAGAGATGATTAGATTGGTTTCAAGACAAAATTCATTGAAATTTAGCTCAAAGTAGCGGAAATGTTTGATTTTTGCCGATACTAGTACACAAATGACATTACTTGTCTAATACAGCGTGTTCATCTGTCCATTCTAATATGTTTCAGGAATGCACTGACATTATTTATACAATTTTTACAATAATGCAATAGTCTGGAAATAAATGGTATAAAATACCGACACAATGGAAATATAAACACATATGCAGTATAATGTGATCCTTTATTGACAACGTTTCGCCCACACAGTGGGCTTTTTCAAGTCACAAACAGATCTACCTGGGGTGGAAGGTATGCGAGTACCTTCGATAAGTCTTGAGTTTCTGTAGTTTATTAAATGGTTGTGTGAATTACGGTGATGTACACAGGTATTCCTTGTATCGTCAGACCTGCTTGCGTATTGGTGTTCTGAAATGCGTGTTTGGAGGTCCCTTGATGTTTTGCCAACGTATAATTTGCTGCAGCCATTACGAGGGATTATGTATACCCCTGCAGAGGATGGAAGCTTGTCCTGTCTATCACTGGTAATGTCCTTAATGGTCGTGGTTGTGGAGGTAGATACTTGGAATGAGGTATTGGAAAAGATGTTGGAAATGTGTTTGGCAATGGAGTTGGTGGGGAGGACTATGTATCTCTTCTTGGCAGTGTCTTCTCTGGGTGTGATAAATTAGACACATGTGCAACTCTTGGATATCTTTATTGAGGAAACGTTTCGCCACATAGTGGCTTCATCAGTCCATATATATGAGAAACTTGAAAAACAGGAGGAGAATGAGGCAATCAGTCCCTCAACCTTGAGTCGATGTGGTCAGTCCATCAATCTTGTATAGAATACGGCATATGGGCGGAGAAGCAGCTTATAAACCGTAGGCAGGAGAGGTGCAGCAGATGTAGGTGGTGTCATATTTGTTCAATGTGGAAGTAGGTCATGCCCAAGGGTTAGGCAAGCGAAGAATTCCCATGTTCACTGTGGAAGTAGGTCATGCCCAAGGGTTAGGCAAGCGAAGAATTCCCATTCAGTGTGGAAGTAGGTCGTGCCCAAGGGTTAGGCAATTTGGGAATTCTTCGCTTGCCTAACCCTTGGGCACGACCTACTTCCACATTGAACAAATGTGACACCACTTACATCTGCTGCACCTCTCCTGCCTACGGTTTATAAGCTGCTTCTCCGCCCATATGCCATATTCTATTCAAGATTGATGGACTGACCACATCGACTCAAGGTTGAGGGACTGATTGCCTCATTCTCCTCCTGTTTTTCAAGTTTCTCCTATATATGGACCGATGAAGCCACTGTGTGGCGAAACGTTTCCTCAATAAAGATACCCAAGAGTTGCACATGTGTCTAATTTATCAACGTGTCGGTTCTCTGAACCATTCATCTTCAATCTTCTCTGGGTGTGTTGAAGATGTTTAATGCCTGTCGTCTGCAGTCTGATGAAGTGACAAGGATAGTGGAGTTTAGAAAATAGTTGTTCAATTATAGTGCATTCTTCCTCATGAAACTCATTGCTGCAGATTCTGAGTGCACGCAGGAAGAAGCCTATAATTACACCATGTTTAGTTTTGGTGTCATGGTGAGAGTAGAAGTGGAGAAGATCGTTTTGGTTGGTGGGTTTTCGATAGACTTTAAAATGAAGTTCATGGTCAGGTTTGCAGAGAAGAACATCAAGGAAAGGAAGAGTGTTGTCGACTTCTTCTTCAAGTGTGAACTGGATTGAAGGCTCGACCTGGTTGAGCTTGTCTTGGAGAGCTTGAACGTTGAAGCGTCTAGAATCTGCAGCAATGAGTTTCTTGAGGAAGAATGCACTTTAATTGAACAAGTATTTTCTAAACTCCTCTATCCTCGTCACTTCATCAGAGACTGCAGACGGCGGGCATTAAACATCTTCAATACACCCAGAGAAGACACTACCGAGAAGAGATACATAGTCCTCCCCACCAACTCCATTGCCAAACATGTTTCCAACATCTTTTCCAATACCTCATTCCAAGTATCTACCTCCACGACCATCAAGGATATTACCAGTGTAGACAGGACAAGCTTCCATCCTCTGCAGGGGTATACATAATCCCTTGTAATGACTGCAGCAAATTATACGTGGACGAAACATCAAGGGACCTCCAAGCACGTATTTCAGAACACCAATACGCAAGCAGGTCTGACGATACAAGGAATGCCTGTGTACAACACCATAATTCACACAACCATTTAATAAACTACAGAAACTCAAGACTTATTGCCGCAGAAGACAACACTCAATACCGAAGAATCCTGGAATCATCGCTTATCTCTATATCCGACAACTTCAACCAGAATAATGGCTTCTATAACAAAGCTGAACCACTTGCCAAGAAACTTCTTCATCGCTATCCCACATAAGAACATAGGAATGGAAGAACACTGCAGAAGGCCTGCTCACAAACTTATCCAATCTTTCTTCCAAGCTACCCAAGATTTTAGACTCTATAACCCCACTCGGTACATCATCAGATGCAGCATCCTCCACCTGACCTCAGCCTTCTGAACCTGACTATAAATACTTGCATACCTTCCACCCCAGGTAGATCTGTTTGTGACTTGAAAAAGCGCACTGTGTGGGCAAAACATTGTCAATAAAGGATCACATTATACTTCATATGTGTTTATATTTCCAATGCAATAGTCTGTATAACAGTAAATATACTATTGTTGTGTGTGAATAAAATAAACCCAGTGAGGAGCAGGGGTGCAGTGGGGACAATAAAGGAACACTGTATCAACATCTTACCAGAAGATATCAGAAACATGGCTGGAACAAGTGTAGAAGCCTTCAAGAGAAAACTGGACAAGTATCTTCACAAGGTGCCAGATCAACCAGACTGTGGTGGATATGTGGGGCAGCGGGCCTCCAGCAGCAACAGCCTAGTTAACCAGGTAAGCACCAGACGAGCCTGGCCCATGGCCGGGCTCAGAGTAGAGAAACTCTCAAAACTCTTCAAAGATATATCAAAGGAATAAAAATTCTAAGTGAAATTCATGTGTAATATAGGAGAGGCCTGGGGTGTAAATAATTAACAGAGGAAATGTTATTTTAGAGCCAGAAATGTCTGCATTATTTATCCTGGACCGTATTTTGAAAGTGGGAATTCTTGAATTTTGTACGAAATGTCCAAATTACCAATTTCTGATGACTTTATTGGGTAGTTGAAATACAGTGGTCTCTCGATAATCGTCCGGCTCGATAGTTGTCATTTTCGGAAATCGTCACGTTAATTTCGTCCAAACATTGGCTCGCAAATGGTAAGTTGACTCACTAATCGTCATTCGTCTTGGACGCGTACTCACGGCTCTGAGCGCTTCGGCCTCCCTTCCCACCCAGTGTGCCATTGTTTACCAGTGAGCGATGGTCCCCTCACTTTGTTCATATGAAATATTTCATAATATTTCATTCATTTTAGTGCTTGCAAGTGCTAAATAAGCTACCATGGCTCCAAAGAAAGCTCCTAGTGCCAAGCCTTTGGTAAAAAAGGTGAGAAATACGACTGAATTTAAGAAAAACATCAGTGAACAATATGAAAGTGGCGTACATGTGGCCGAAGTGGCCAGGATGTATAATAAATCCCGTACAACCATATCTTCCATCGTGGCCAAGAAAAAGGAAATCAAGGAAGCTGTTGTTGCAAAGAGGGTAAATATGCTGACAAAAATGAGATCATAAAAGAGAGAAGCTTACGACGACGTTTCGGGCCGACTTGGACCATTTACAAAGTTGTAGTAAGCTTCTCTCTTTTATGTGCGGGTTATTTGTGTATCGTTCCAGTCACGACATTGTGCCTTTTTTTTGTTATTAAAAATGAGATCACCAGTACTCGAAGATGTTGAGAGGTTATTATTGGTGTGGATAAATGAGAAACAATTAGCAAGAGCTTCAGCAGGAAGAGCAACAGATCACAGCTCAGAATCTTGCTGCAGAGGAGGAGGAAGAGAGATGGAAGAAGGTGCCTTCTTCAGAAATTAAAGAGATTTTTGAAAAGTAGGGTAGGATGGAAAGATTTATGGAGAAACATCACCCTGAGAAGGCTGTAGCAAGCCATATCAGCAGCTTGTACAGTGACAGAGTCTTGGCCCATTTTAGGGAAGTTTTAAAGAGACGCCAGAAACATAGCTCTCTGGACACTTTTTTTGCGAGACAGGACTCCAGTGACTCTCAAGCTGGTCCTAGTGGCATTAAGAAGCAGAGAAGAGAAGTAACCCCAGAAAAGGACTTGGTACCTGAGGTGTTGATGGAAGGAAATTCCCCCTCCAAACAGTAACTAATCCAATCTCTCTCCTCCTCCAGTCTCCCATACACTAAGAAGAATTGCCAATAAAGGAAAGTGTTATGCTGTTAATGTTTCATTCATCATGGCCCATTGTATTGTTTATGTACTACATCTATATTTCATGTAAACAAATTTATTGTTTTAATTCTTCTGGGTGTCAGGAACGGATTACACCTACCATCCGACTTACGACCTGCTTGACCTACCATCCGACTTACGACCTGCTTGACATATGTCCACTCGTCTTACGACCGTGCATCTGGCAGCTGGGCTGGGCCGGCTGATGCATACCACTGTACAATATTTGACAATACTCGTGGCGGCAATGCGTCATGCAGGCAGCATCAGTTTGAGTAACCCTGCCCTATCAGCAGCATCATACTGTATTAACTGTACTAATTGGACAGTAAATTTCACCATGGCCCCTAAGATGAAGTCTGAATCTTGTACTGGAGATTGCGGCAAGAAAGGCTCTTACTCTCAAACTCTCTATTTGTTTTCACTGTTGCACATAAACCTGTCTGTATCTGTCTGCCTGTATATCTGTGTATCTCTGTGTGTGTGTTTATCTGTCTGTCTACCTGTGTGTGTCTGTTTTTGTCTACCTGTGTCTATGTCTATCTGTGTGTCTGTCTTTCTGCCTATCTGTGTGTTTGTCTGTCTTTCTGCCTATCTGTGTGTTTGTCTGTCTACCTGTGTATGTCTACCTGTGTGTCTGTCTTTCTGTCTACCTGTGTGTCTGTCTTTATGTCTACCTGTGTGTTACACAAATAACCCGCACATAAAAGAGAGAAGCTTACGAAGTGACTTTGTAAACGGTCCAAGTCGGACCGAAACATCGTCGTAAGCTTCTCTCTTTTATGTGCGGATTATTTGTGTATCGTTCCAGTCACAGTATTGTGCCTTTTTTTTTATCTACCTGTGTGTCTTTGTCTACCTGTGTGTCTACCTGTGTGTGTGTGTCTTTCTATCTACCTGTGTGTGTCTTTCTGTCTACCTGTGTGTGTGTCTGTCTACTTGTGTGTCTGTCTTTCTGTCTGCTTGTCTGTCTCAGAGCCACTCATTAAGAGTGTAATCGGTCTTGAAGATGCCATATTAATAATGATAATAACACAATAATAATCACTGAGGCGCATTAAATGTGTATAAAACGTTGATATAGATATTTTGCTTAATCCATCTATGATTTATTTTTCAAAATTATATAATAAACATGCTACATAACATATAAACATATAAATTAACAAATATGAGATGTTTTTCTGGTCGGCTTGACAGAGTGAACAGGAACCGTTCGTGTCTGGGCTGGTAACAACAACAACAACGTTTGTTTACATAACTCGCCAACCTTCTACACTCTCATTCGTTTATTCATTTAATCTTGTTTACTCACCTCTCACTCTACATTAAGACTACAGATATTTTAAGGTAAGTAATGAATGGACACGATTATTATATTATAGTTTAATAATAATAATATTATTAATATTAGTACATATGTATTACTGTAATAATAATAATAATAATTATTATTAATATTATTATTAATTTAGGGCACTGGAGCACAGATCCACTGTATAGCACTTTGTCTGGATTATTTGGGTTATCCTTGTTAATTTATACTATGTATGATAACTTTACTTACGTGTACCTGAGAGAGAGAGAGAGAGAGAGAGAGAGAGAGAGAGAGAGAGAGAGAGAGAGAGAGAGAGAGAGAGAGAGAGAGAGAGAGAGAGAGAGAGAGAGAGAGAGAAAGAGAAAGAGAGAGAGAGAAAGAGAGAGAAAGAGAGAGAGAGAAAGAAGAGAAGAGAGAGAGAGAGAGAAGAGAGAGAGAGAGAGAGAAGAGAGAGAGAGAAAGAGAGAGAGAGAAAGATGAGAGAGAGAAAGAGAGAGAGAGAAAGAGAGAGAGAGAGAAGAGAGAGAGAGAAGAGAGAGAGAGAGAGAGAGAAGAGAGAGAGAGAGAGAGAGAGAGGAGAGAGAGAGAGAGAGAGAGAGAGAGAGAGAGAGAGAGAGAGAAAAGACAAGAGAGACAGAGACAGAGCAGAGACATAAGAGTAGAGAGAGAAGAGGTAGAGAGAAGAGAGGAGAGAGAGAGAGAGAGACACACACACACACACACATTCAGTCAACCAATCACCCACCCGGCCAGCCAGCCAGCTACGTATTACACATGTTCCAGAGTTGTTTCTCTTAACTTAGGGTATAGTTATACTACATTCTGGCAGGAGACACTACCAGTGTAATTCTCCCATTCCACTGTGTCGACAATACATAAAGATAACAGTAACATATGATACTGTATGCGATGTAAAATTTACAATACAGTTCACTACCATGTATACATTATATACAATAAATAAATAATTAAAATTTAACAATAGAAGTAAATTATGGTAAAAAGAATGAAATAATGATTGTACATTACATTACAGTACTATGTAGGTAGTTTATATAGGAAACATTTGACATTATGCCCTACCCAGTATGTCGGCAATTTTCAAAGGTTCGACTTACGTCCATTTTGACTTACGACCGGTTGGTCGGAACTAAGCTTGGTCGTAAGTCGGATGGTAGGTGTAATTGTATTTACATTATTTCTTATGGGAAAACTGATTCGAAAATTGTCTATTTCGATAATCGTCGCACTTCCAGGAACGGATTAACGACGATAAACGAGGGACCACTGTAGTTGAATGGACAGTTTCTTGTACTCATTTGACAGAACAGAAGGTATCTTAGTGAAATAGCTAAGAATTTGACCAACTGGAATAATGTAAATGGCCTAAAATCAGACTCAAAGTGAGCAAAATCACTGTTGCTCAAATATCACCGACAGCAAAATTCACAAAAATGTTATTTCATCAGCTTTTCATCAAATCTGGCACTATTTTATTACCTTCAGATAAAGATTCTCTACAATTTCATAAGAAAAAACTTTTTTTTTAATTTTCTGACCTTGAGAGTAAGTTTGAGAGCAGGGGTACCCACCTTCAAAGGGTTAAAGACCTCACCAATGACACAAATACTCTTGTTGCCACAGTCTACAATGGAGGTGGAGTTGCCATACTCAACACCAGCTACTACAGCACCAAATTGATGAGCCTCTTGAACGACCACCTTACATACGAGCCCATCAGCGCACAACAGTGGGAGACACAACCAAAGATTTCCTATACAAAACCAGACAAATACTAAAATGCACTAATTAAGGAAACAAACTCCTACACTTGACACCCATCAACCACAAACCAGCACACATGTATGGTCTACCTAACACCCATCAAATCCTCTGAGACCAATCACACCAAGTGTAGATAGTGCATCACACAAATTAGCTGCATTTCTCACCAAACATTTTTCCTGTGAAAAAATTATGGTGAATCAAATACAAAATGGGAATTGACACAGTTACTTTTTGCTGATGATACTGTGCTTATGTGAGATTCTAAAGAAAAATTGCAAAAGGTTAGTGGATGAGTTTGGGTGTGTAAAGGTAGAAAGTTGAAAGTGAACATAGAAAAGAGTAAGGTGATGAGGGTATCATATGATTTAGATAAAGAAAAATTGGATATTAAATTGGGGAGGAGCAATATGGAAGAAGTGAATGTTTTC